GATGCCTATCTTTTCACTCAGGGATCTCAGAATATTTCATATACATGAATTCGTTATCGGTCTACCAACAGAAAGCTTCTCCCCCTTGACCCAGGCTGCTGGGAAGGAAATAGGTGTTCTTATGTCTACCCAACAGTTGTTTTTTTATTATTGTTTCTTTTACTGTGGTAAGATACACATCGCATAGAATTCGCCGTCTTGACATTTAAGTGCTCAGTAGCGTTAAGTGCTTTCTCATTGCACAGCGACCGTCTCCTCCATCCTTTCTCCGTAATGCTTTTCTTCGTCCCAGACTGAAACTCTGGACCCATTAAACACCAACTCTCCACTCCCTTTCCCTCAGCCCTGGCAACCACTTTCTACTTTCTGTCTCTATGAATTTGACCATTCGAGATCTCTTGTAAGTGGAATCGTGCAATATTTGTCTCTTTGTGACCGGCTTATTTCACGTAGCGTAATGTTTTCAAGGTTCATCCATGTGGTAGTTTGGGTCAGAATTTCCCTCCTTTTTAAGGCTGACTAATATTCAATTGTATGTATATCCCACAGTTTATTTATCCACTCATCTGTCCATGGACACTTGGGTTGCTTCCACCTTTGGGCTATTGTGAATAATATTGCTATGAACATTGGTGTACAAGTTCAAGTCCCTGCTTTCCATTCTTTGGGGGTAGGTACCCAGAAGTAGAATGACCAGATCATACGGTAAATTCTAAGTTTAACTTTTTGAGGAACTGCCAAACCGCCCAATAGGTTTTTGCATAACGCCGACAGAATGTGCCAGGAAGACTACCCTACCCGAAGCCCCCCACCCATTCTCCCCCAGCACAGTGTAAGTACACACAGGGGTCCTGAGAGGTGGTGGAGCTCCTGTCTCTCGAAGCAGTGAGGGAGCTATCGCAGCTGCATCAATCAGCACCTGTCCTGGAGTCCATTGGCCACAGGGGACAGACCTCACTTGTTTGTGGTCTCCGAGACCATCCATCACTAGGATACAGTCATCTCTAGATAGGTCACATTGCCGTCTGATTTGTTCTCCAGGCAGAAGCCCCCACCCCATGACTTTCTTTTTTCACCTCTTCCTGTGGTCGGAATTCCCTCACTCGGCTAATTAGCATGCCTGGCACTGTAGCGTACGACTTTAATCAGCATTGGGTGGTTTCAGTTAATTGTGTGGCTCTGCATCTGGAGTGGTTTGTGTTCCAGGGTCAGGAGAGGAGCCGGCTTTGCTTGGTGTAAGGCGTGGGTGGAGGATCTAGGTATCTGGGGAGAGAGAATCACAGCGCCAAGGTGGCTCTGAATCCATCTGGCCACCTGTGCAGCTTACCAGCAAGGTGTGGAAGGTAAGCAGAGCCATTCGGGTAAAGAATTGCACCCAGATAAATGATCGGCTGAATCTAATTTTCAAAAGTGATTTAAAGTGTCAGGCAAATTTCTGATGCTTTCCAGAATTACGCGCGGGATGGGGAGTGAGGCAAAGCAATGATGTAGATTGGGAGATTTGGGGTCAGTCTGGGCGAGCGTGGCCATGCCGGAGAATACTGTCTGATGGTGGGACTTTGGAAATGTCCCTGGGCCTGGTTTTCTTTGAGAAAGTCCTGGAAAGGTGAAGGGGTGGGTGGCACTCAGCTTTCAAATGATGGTAACCCTTCTACATGGACTGTCAGTATCCTGGTGGTTTCCCGGTTTTAGCATCCATGCTTTGAAAGGAATGGAGAAAACCTAGATAAATTTCAGGAGAGTAATAAAAAATGACTGAACGTACAGATAGAAAGAGCCTATAAGAAAAGGTGAAAGGAAGTTGGGTAGCATAATAACTTCCCAGGATTTATGTCCCTGTCCAACAGGGATCCACCGTGATGAAAAGCAAAGAAAAGTAGGTTTTACCAACTGTAGGTGGTAAAAGCCCTGAATAAGTCTAGGAAGCTGGGCCAGGAGGAAGCAGTGAATGGTTTAGGGGCAGACATCCCAGCTCAAGGAGGAAACGATGTGCTCAAGGTAAGAAAGGAGAAAAGCTCTTCCAGGCGTTAAACTCCTGACCAAGCTCTTGATGCCACCTCGGAAGATCAGTTTGGGATGACGAGGGAGAGAGGTAAAGTGGCAATGCAAGGAAGAATGGGTATTAATGACAAAGATGACAATAATAGTTAACTGTCACTTGCAATGTGCTTGATCATTTACAAAGCTGTTTCAAACCTCTTGGGTCATCTGTGCTTTGGGAAACTCTGTGAATTAAGGGGGATTTTTATCTCCATGTTGAAAGATGAGAAAAAATGGGACTCAGAGACAATAGGATCTCATTGCCAGTAAATGGTGAAGTCAGAATTTGAACCCAGCTCTGCAGGCTCCTACACTGTTTCCAACCAAATGAAAATGACTCGTTTAAAATCGAGAGACGAAGGACTTTACAGTCCCAGGTATTGGCATCATTAAATGCCAGTTGCAAGATATTTTTAGAAGTCTGAATGCAAAGGCTTTGGAGAAGACCAGGTTCCGCAAGCAAGCAGCTGGCTCTTTTTGTGTTGTACACCCCGGAACCCCACAGCACGGCCTTCGGAGACAGATTATAGAACATGTCACTGGGAGAAACCAGGAAGGATATCAAGTTCAGACCAAGAAAATGCTTTTGCTTGAACAAGCCATGATTTCCTCTTTAAGCCTGTGCAAAATATGGAGTGCTAGACAAGCAGCCGGAACATATGAAAACATTATTATGTACTTATGTTACCAACTTTCATCATCTTTGGCCCCTTTTATTACTTTTTTCAGCTCTAGGCATCAAGTTTTGAAAGATTTTTGCCTACTAAACAAACTGTATTTATTAAGTAATAATATATTTGCTATTTTTAGTATGGGAAATACATCACAGAGTGTGCAAGCAAACAGAAGATAGCAACAATCCAATTTTCTTTAGGCTTTTGGAAATACTGAAAGTAACTGTGGACCTCGTTACCACTCAGGAATTCCTAGGAGTCCAGCTACTTTGGGCACCACTATTTATATGCTCACACGACCAGCGTGTCTGTGCCCATTTAAGGGATAGGGAAGGCAATTAAAGAGGCAACAGGAGGAGGGTCAGTTCCTGACTGTGTGCAGAGTCGGGGTGGGGGTGGGGTAATTTGCAAGAGTCTGATTGTCAGGACCAGTTACAGAAACGGGAAGGTTCTATGTAGGCAGAGCCAAGGCATGGCCCTGGCTGATTGCATGAGCAGTAATAAAAGGAAATATAAAATTCCAAATGTGCAAAAGGACATCTGAGAATGTGGAGAAAGGGCCACCAAGGCCAAGGGCAAAGCTATAGGAACAGGAGCAGGAAGCTAAAAGGTACCTTGGAAAAAGTAAAACTACACGGTGGTCATTAAGATCACTCGATGGGCACTTGAGAAAACCGAAAAGATATATAAAGGGAAGAAGAAAATTAAGGTGGAAAGGAAAAAGGAATCATGTGGGATTTGAAAATAATAATTAATTCTTAATTAATTCCAAAAGAGAGCTTCGAGACTAATTGAGCAGACTCTGGTGCCAGTTCGCCTGTGCACGAGTTACAAGTAGCCCCTGCCAAGTGGTACATAATTTTATGGAGGCAGACCACGAAGCAGCATGGAAAACACGGCCTCTGCATTTGCTCAGGAAGCACAGAGGCTCGGCCAGGTCAGCGTGATTTATACTTCTCCGTGTCTACTGTCTGACGGCAAGAAATTAAAAAGGATGACCAGCTCAAACTCCTTAGCTCAAGCTGAAAGTTTAGCTAAGAAGTCCTCCATCGAGATAAAAAGGTATCCCGAATGGAAAGGAGTGATTACAGAAAAAGCCCAAAACCTTTCGTGAAGAAGAAACTGGCAAAATTGGAGAAGAAAGACCAAGGCTATAGGAAGAAAATTCAAATTCCATTTGATCCTGTGTATCGTTATTAAGTACCTCCTACGTCGCAGGCCCTGAGAAATCATGTCAAAAGACATTCAGGGCAAAGCTACGTTGGAGGGGGTTTCCCTGGTGGCGCAGTGGTTGGGAGTCCGCCTGCCGATGCAGGGGACACGGGTTCGTGCCCCAGTCCAGGAGGAGCCCGCGTGCCGGGGAGCGGCTAGGCCCGTGAGCCATGGCCGCTGAGCCTGCGCGTCCGGAGCCTGTGCTCCGCAACGGGAGAGGCCGCAACAGTGAGAGGCCCGCGTACCGCAAAAAAAAAAAAAAAAAAGCTACGTTGGAGAACAAAGAAATTCAAAAGATCTTTAGGAGTATGCAGGAAATAGAAGCATTTGGGCTAAACAGAAATGTCATGTGGAACATTTTACATTAACAAGCTGCTGGTGAAAGCTAAGATAAAGTTTTGGGGTTGGAGAGGAAGCCTCTAGTCATGAAAAGAGTGTGGGTAGGAAGAGAAATAGCAACAGCTGCTCTTTGAAAGCACCAGAGTGAACAACTTTATGAGCCAGTTGGCCAACGTTACGAGAAAGAGAGAGTGAGCAAGTGTCATCTACAAAGCGAGTGGATTACACCTTGTCAAAGAGAGAGACAAGGGTCTTGCACTTGGGTTCAGCGCTCTCTGGAACCACAAAAAGGATGAAACCTGAAGGAGAAGTTCTGGGATGGGGCAAAACACTTGAAGGCAAAAGAGAAACAAGAGTGGAGAAAGAAGAAGCGTTTGAGTTTATTACATTGATAAGAGATAATATGTGATGAATGGCACATTTGTAGAGATATTTGGGGGTTCGGTTGGTGGGAAAATTTAAATGTACATGTTATAAATATCTCTGATAACAATGTGATATGAATTCTGTGGAGTCTATTCCCAGGCACTTCTAAGAAAATAACAGTTGGTTGTCTCCCCACGATGCTTATGGGCCACCTGCTCAAATAGGATCCCTTTCGGTTCTGGGGCTCTAGGCCCCCTCCTGCTTCTACACGGTTTTAGGTGATACACCTGATAGGATGGCGTGACTTCTTGGTGAACTACTGGGTGTTCTGCAAAACTGACCACTGTCTCCCGTGTGGTCTTGTCCTAGCTCACCAGAGTCCCTGTGGAGTCCTGTGGTCAGTATCGGAGCTGCGGCGAGTGCCTTGGCTCAGGCGATCCCCACTGTGGCTGGTGTGTGCTCCACAACACGTGAGTACCGCTGGGCGGCTTCCTCCTGCCTCCCCCTCCCCCGGTAATTCTCTCCGTCCTCGACTTCTACTCTATTGCCACTCTCCTACTGTTTGACCTCTCCCTTCTCTCCCTCCCTTTTCTTACTCTTCCTTCTATGTATCCTTTGTAAATCTGGGTATCCTTTGTAAATGTATCCTTTGTAAATCTTATCTCCCTTCTTTTGTTCTGACTTCACTTTAAATTGTCAACTTCCCATAAAAATATATGGAAATGTCAGCATGGGAATGATGAAGGGTCAGGATATGGGAATCACCCTGGATCATTACACACTGGAGGTCTGGAGGGAGAGCTCTAGACATTTCTGGTTGCAATTTGACTGTAGACTGTAGACTGACATTCCAGGGCTAAACAGCAGGAAAAAGGCATTGGACTCCTTTCTTTTTTTAAAAAAAAAATTTTTAATATGTACTTATTTATCTGGACAGTAGGGTCTTGGTTGTGGCACCTGGGATCCTGACCAGGGATCAAGCCCGGGGCGCCTGCATTTGGGAGCACAGAGTCTTAGGCACTGGACCACCAGGGAAATCCCTGGACTCTTTTCTCCAGGCTCACATGGGCCACTAAATCACGTGTGTGATGTCTACTGTCGAGTTAGTGATTTAACAGCCACTTAACAGACTTCAGTATCCCCCCAGAATCTTCTGGTATTTGAGGGGTAAGTTCAAGTGCGTAGCACCTAAGAACCCTCCTCCGCAGCCCTAACACTCATCTGGCTGTCAGAGCACCCTGGGCCCGGGGTCACTAGACCAGTGTTTGAAACCCTGGTCCAAGTGTTGGCCGATCCCCCCCGTGTGGCTCTTCCTTGCTGGCTCCATTTTACTCTCTAGAAGTGGAAAGAAGGCAATGGTATACAGTGGAGACAAATGGTAGTCTGATAAATGAACTGAGGGGTAGAAGTCGGGTACAGACAACCCCCCAAATGTGAGGGGAGAACAGAAAGCATTTCTTAGGGGAGCCGAAGATCCTTGGCATCGCTGACTGGAGAAGCCAACAGTAGTTGGGCCCCACCCACTCTGTGGAATTTGGTCCCAGCCAAGCTATGCTGCTGCGGGAACCCCAGGCTTCTAGTTAACACTTGAAACTTGACACGCTGTGAGTTGGGCACAACTATTAAAAACTAAAAGGAAGGACTTAAGTTTTCTTACTAAGAGCCTGAACTGTATGTGACCAATGGCATTTACCAGTCATTTCCTGCCTCATTCCACCCCAGGAGTGCCTCTGAAAGTTAGACATGCCCTCTTAAATTCTAACACAACCTCTCCAAGGCCCCAGGATGGGCACCCTCCCCTCTCTAGGTGACAGTCTCAGGCATAATGAGACCTAGAGTTCACTAAGGAAAGGTTTGAAATCCCTTGGATATGCTGTGATGGGAAAAAACGGAGACCCATCAACCTACCCTGAAAAACAAGTAACTTAGAGATGACCAGAAACTGGGTACAGCAGTGTACCCAAAGCTGTGTATCGTAACAGAGAGCAGTGGCGCCTAAGACTGGCCGCCATACAAGAGGATGGAAGAGATTGCATTCAGAATCCAGATCAGCTCTGATCAACCCAGAAGAGTTGCCCAGATGATACTTTGCAAGGCAGAGGGGAAGTCGTTTTCTTTGTCCCACACAGTGAGCCCTCTCAGAAAGGGACTGTGCTCCAGATCCATTGCTTCCTTGGGGGCCTTAGGCCAGCTGGCTTTCAGCTTGGCTAAGGATGGCTCAGCTGCTCCTGGCGTGAGGCTCTCACACCTGGCATCATTTAAGGGCAATCAGAAAAGCTGGCCCCCCTCTGACACTCTATGCCTGTGGGACCCAAAGGCCGGTCTCTGTGTCATCTTTGATCCTGCCTGGTGATGTCGGCCAGCCCCACATAGCACTGAGCCCTGTGAAGAGCAGGGACCCTGAGGCTCTGAGACGGCAGCAGGGGCACTGTGGGTACGCCCACCTCCCCTCCCCAGAGCTGAGCTAAACAAGAATGACAGGAGGAGGTACCAGGGATTACTTCCTGCGTGGCCTCAGTTTCCCCTCAGTAACATAATACCTGCCTCCTGTCAAGCAGCAGAAAACAGGGGTGGACTGGGGTCAAGGTGAAGTCTGGACGGTTCATGAAGGAAGCCATCAGCCTGCACTGGGAAGCCAGCCTCTCTACTCTCAGCGTGGCCTAAAGAAAACAGTCATGGACGTGAACTCTGGGCATCTGCCACCAAGTCCAAATTCCATATTCCCCAGCTGTGCAGCGACCTGAGCCAGCACCCCAGCTCCAAGGTGCTCTGCCAGCTCAAGGTGTGGTTCTCTGTGACCCTGAGCCTCCTAGTTGTGGGATGGGCCTTGTGCTGGGGGCTGTGCTGACGTAAAGCCCAAGTGCCCCAGGAGGATTCAGCTCACGAGCGCCCTAGGCCAAGGCTGCCCGCCCACCGTGACACTCTGTACATCCTCCCTCCCTCCCTCCCTCCGTCCCGGAATTAACGGCCAGGAGAACCCCTGGCCCGCGGGGCCGGGTGAAGAAGAGCGGATGCCTGGATCTGCTGAGATGCTTGTCACCAGGGTATAATGTTTAATTTATATGGAGGGACGTAAACTGATGCTCAGTGTACCGTTTGGAAAGTTTTGATAAATGCAAAACCCAGGTAATCCACACCCTCATCAAGATGTACAATATTTCTTTATCCAGAAAGTACTCTCATGCCCCTTCCTAATTCTTCCCAGCGGGCCTTTCTTTCCTTTTTTGCTTAAGTTCAAGGCAAAGCCAGACATTGCTTCTCCTAAATGTCCAGTTTGCACCCCTTTTCATTTGAAATAGATGCCAGCAGGACTTTCGTGGCTGAGACTGATGCATGAGGATGTGGGCCAAGCAGGAGGGAGGGCAGGCAGAGGCTGTGTGGGAAGGATGAGGGTGGCCAGAGAGCCTGAAGATGCTCCCCGTGGGGCACCTGAGTTCACTAGGAAGGGAGGGAGGTGAAAAATGCAGGGGATTTCATCACTTTGGAGGAGCACCATGCCCACACACACCCCCTGTGCCAGGCACTGTGCTAGGCTCAGGGCATACAAGGGGCCTGCATTAGACCTTCTGCCCAGAAGCAAGTTCTTGGGAACCAGGCCTTTGGTTCAGGGATGGGGTGAGGGTTGCAGTCTGTGCTAGAATCGGCATGTTTGTCAGGTCCACGCCGCGGACAAGACCCTGTGCTAAGTGCTACAGGGCCCAGCCAGCCTGCCCCAGGAAAACTGTGCAAGAGAGCATCAGAAACAGGGTTCCTTGTGCTGTCAAGATACATCCATTTTCTGTCACTTTTGCCAACTTTTCCCATGGTTGTAAGAAGCGAGAGGGTGGGGAATTTTGTGGGAAGAGAATGACAGCAGAAGCTCTGTGTGTGTGTGTGTGTGTGTGTGTGTGTGTGTGTGTGTGTGTGACAGAGAGAGGACAGAAACAGAGACAGAGCAACAGGAGGAGAGAGAGAGTGTGCATGCAGCTCAAGATGGGGCCCCAACCAACAGGTGGCTCAGGTGGCTGAAAGGGCTGTTTGTACCAGCAAGGGCACAGGTGGGTTTGCAGACTGAAGGGGCTTAAGAAATGCTCATGTAATTGAAACCCTCCCTCCTGTTACTCACCCTCAGTTGTCCTGAGCACAGGCTTTGCAACCCAGTAGCACGGAGGGTCACCCCTGTTGCCTCTCTTTCAGCCCCGGGCCCCAGCCCACAGGCTTGCTGGCTTCTAATGGTAATGACAGCTTCAACAAACTGTTTATTTGTCCATCACCTTGAGCCTTTGTTTGCAGGGCCTCCACCCCATTGGGCCTGAGCCTATTCTGACTTGGGTGAAAGAAAGGAAAGGCTGCAGTGCACCCGCAGCCCTGAAGCCCGGCTTTCACCTGTCCTGGGCCTGGAAAGATCCCTCCAACCCCCAGGTCCCCAGCCCCCTCTCCCTCTTCCCCTCCCGTGCCCAGGCCAAGAAGCCCATCAGTCTCAGCAGGTAACGGGATCCCCCACAGACCTAGTCCCATCGATCGGCCCAGACGTTACCTTTCTTCAGCGGGGTCATCAGCGTCCCTCCTGGGAGGCTCATGTAACTCAGGACATTGACAGGCGAAACATACGATCAGCTTTTATAAAGTCCTTCCCTCCCCGCCGGGACCCCTCCTCTTTGCAGATTTCTTCTCTTGGAAGGATGCCCTCCCTGGATGGCTTGGCGTGGGTCACTGTTCAGGACTCACTTTATATAGTTTCTGCCAAGATGGAGGGAAGGAGAGGAGAGGAAAAATGCTGCTGCCTAGACAGAAGGGATGGGTTAAAACTAAGAACCTGTCTGTGGACAGACCCAGTCTGGCCTCAGTTTCCTGCCATAAAATGGCAGTGAAGAGCCATCTTTGGTTCCAGGACCCACAGTGGGTACCAGAATCCATGAACGTCAGATCCCCTAGTTGGCCCTCTGTATCTGTGGTTCCACATCCTAGAGTCACGGCACTGAAAGGCCTCACCTGGTCCGTGCCTGTCATATAAGAAACCCCTTACATACCATCTGCCTAGAAGGCTTCCTTTTACTATCCAGTCTGCCTTCCTCCAAGCTGCACATGCCATCTGCCCATTCCTGGGGGCATTCCTGAAGAGGGCAAGGGTAACGCTGTTAGGAAACCCTGTCTCCTCCCTCGTCAGGGTTCCCAGATGTGGAGACAGTGATCAGAGAGCCCCCGTGATCTCCAACTTGAATAAGGTTCCTCTTACCTTTTCTGTAAAGGGCATTTAGGGAGCCGTACCCCATTTGTTTCCAACCTTCTCATGTTCTAAACACAGATTCCCCAAATACTGCACTTCAAGCACAGGCCATGACCAACGTGAAGTGTTAAGGATGGGGGATCACCTACAGGGAGAAGCAAGGAGCCAGTTCTGATATCCGAGGCTGGTAGACCCACACTACCTGGAGGGCCCGGAGAGACGGACCAGCGGTGGTTTCCCCCACCTCCACTCCGGTTTGGAGGCTCGCCCAGGCCGGACTCACAGAGAGCCCCACTCCCAAATGGAAATTTGCTTGCCCAGCCAGCAGCGCTGGGAGTTAATATTTCCATCACTGTATTTAGGCATTAATTTCTAGAGAACTTAATCACCGCCTCTTTCCCTCTCCCT